TCCAAGAACTCCAAGATCGGATGGAAGGAATTATTACGCAACTACAAGAACTACGCAAAGATCAACATGTTCGAGGGCCATACGTACGACGTGATGTTCACCAACCAGTTATACCTTATCCTGATAAAGAGGTAGCTCGTGATGAAAATTTTGGTGTGAACGCTACAAAATCAAGGAGGGAGAGTATGGGACGAGGGTCTGGATTGGATAGATCGAGCCGAGGATATTTTGGTCGAGAAAGAGATGGAGTTTATCAAAACCGTAGCTCAATGAAATTGATTATACCACCCTTTCAAGGTAAGAGTGATCCCGAGGCGTACATTCAATGGGAAAGAAAGGTTGAGCACGTATTCGATTGTGATTACTATTCCGAAAAGAAGAAAGTGAAGCTCGTCGTCGAAGCGTTCATTGACTATGCAATTAGTTCTTGGGACCAATTTGTCTTAACTAGGCGGCGTTGTGGTGAACCACCAATTGATGATTGGGAGTCCATGAAGGCAGCTATGAGGAAGAGGTTTGTTCCTGCCCATTATTATAGGGAATTGAAGATGCAAAGCTTGAGGCAAGTTACTGAGTTAAAAGAAAGAAGAACGCCGAGTCGAAAATCACGGTGGAGCTCTTCATCAAACCGACCAAGGGAATCAATACCGAGAGAGGCCACATTCGATCCTCCATATGAGACTAAAGAAAGAGGTTATTATTCTTCTCAATCTCGTTCAATTCATGATACTAAATGTTTTTGGTGTTTGGGTTTTGGTCATATCGCTTCAGATTGTTTGGATAAGCCATTCATGAAATTGCGGTCGAACTACGAGGAATTGAAGAGAAAGGGTGATTCTTTATCGCCACTTGAAAAGGAAGATACTCGTCAAGCATTTGAGAATCAGAACATTGAAGCCAATTTAGCAAGTGATAATTCGCTGATTGAGGAAAAGTTAAGTGAGAATGTTGAGGTCGAGTCCAAGGGAGAAGAAAATTGCAAACCCGCGCCACCACTCGAAGAAGAAATTGAAGATTCGGATTCGAGGACGAATCCTTTTGAAGAGGTGGAGAATGATATGAGTCAGCCATGCAATGAAGTTAATGTCGAGCTAAACAAAGTGCAAACTCTCAGTGTGAATGTTGATGAGATGGCGGTGCCTAGAGAGATGCTTCATCCATTCTCTATACAGAGGTTGGACACATTGGGAACTCGAGCTACAAAATATCCATGTTCGTACACATTTCAATGGCTGCAAGATGGTGTGTTCTGCGATGTGGTGCAACGATGTGTTAGTATGCTGCCAAAGAGGGAGGTTGATCATGAAGTCAATTTTTTTTATACTCCTTGTGATATTTGTCCGGATTCGAGGACGAATCCTTTTAAAGAGGGGGAGAATGATACGATCCAGAGATGCTCCATGACAAAGAATTGGAAAACGCGAAAGCGTACGAGTTTAAAGACATTATTCGAGCTGTCCATGGAGAGTAAAGGGCTGAATAAGACTATTGAAGAGTCCGTGGTTTGGAATTGGAAGAAAAGAAAGAGAAGAAGTCGTTGGACAAGTCGAATTCCATGCATACGAGATTCTCGCCTATTCTGGCAGAGTTTACCATTCGGGTTATAACTCTCGCATCCGAAGTCCGATTGAGATGATTCAAAATGATTCGAAAAGCTAACTGAAAGATCTACAACTTTCATGTTTTGAGCGAAGAGATATTCGAAGTGGAACAGTGTCGAAATTGAGCTTTAATTGCATGCACGTGCACAGCCCAATGTCGCGAGATTAGAAGGGTGATCGAGAAGCCGACTTGAAGATCAAGTTATTTAGTTTACTTATTCACGTTTTTAATTTAGGTTTTATTATGTTTTTATTATTTTAGAGTCTTTTATGGTTAGGATTTGCTTATTTATTTATTTCCTTATTATAGTTTAGGTAGGAGTCCTTTTCCTTGTGAAAAAGGAGTCTTTTTAGACCTTATAAATAGGTTGCCAATTTGGCTTATTTTCTAAGACGAATTTTAATGAATATTTGAGTATTTTGAGAGATCAATTCTCCTTCGCTGTTCTACAGCATTCTTCGGAATTTTACAAGTGGATTCTTGTAACTTTCTTAGCGCCATAGTATTGGTTTCTGGTTCTCTATAACCACGGGGTCAATATTATATTTCACCTTGATAATAATGGTTTCTAGCTCTTTATAGCTATGGGGTCATTGTTCCTTGCTTCCGCCAAACTTGAATCTTTGTTTTTGGGTGTTTTCGATCTTGCTTCCGCATAGGGTATTGGGTCTCGTAACAAGTTCTACGGGGTTCGTATCAATTAGAAAGCTATTTCTGCTGGCTACAATTCCTGTCTAATGTCAAATTTCCAAATTCGGACTCGAACATGGTCAAAATTGGATTCCAAAAGCGATCATGAAAATACCCGCTACAGTTCGAGGACACGAATGCGCATCGAGAAACGTGCACAAAAACACTCGCTACAAAAGATACGCACATAAATAAAAGTACAAAATCATGCACAAAAGTACTCACGCGAAAGTGCATTCGCAAAAAGGTTCATGAAAAGACAAACTACAATCCTAGGACATTAATACAAATCAACAAACATGCACGAACACACTCGCTCAAATGGACATGCACAAACGTACATATAAAAAAACATGCGCAAAAGTGCATTCGCAACAACATTCTTAAATAAACGAAATACAACACTAGGACTTTAATACGCATAACCAAACAACAGCAAGAACACTAGATACAAAAGATACAGTGGAATGTAGAAATAACACTCAACGTTTACGTTTACGATTTCGTGGATTTTTTTATGGCTTAATTTATATTTCTGGTTTAATTGGTGGATTTAATATTCTATAGGTACAAATTGATAATGAGGTGTCCATGAAGCAAAAATGATCAAAGAGTAAGAAAAGAGTTGCAATTAGGAAAATAAAATCGAGCTAGAAGAGAGGATCCCTCAACATCTTCGGTAGTGTCCACGAAGTCGAGCATAACTTTCTCATCCGGACTCCAAATCAACTGGTTCCGGCGGCATTAGAAAGCTATTTCAGCTGGCTACAATTCCTGTCTAATGTCAAATTTTCAAATTCGGACTCGAACATGGTCAAAATTGGATTCCAAAAGCCATCATGAAAATACCCGCTACAGTTCGAGGACACGAATGCGCATCAAGAAACATGCACAAAAACACTCGCTACAAAAGATACGCACATAAGTAAAAGTACAAAATCATGCACAAAAGTACTCACGCGAAAGTGCATTCGCAAAAAGGTTCATGAAAACACAAACTACAATCCTAGGACATTAATACAAATCAACAAACATATGCACAAACACACTCGCTCAAATTGACATGCACAAACGTACATGTAAAAAAACATGCGCAAAAGTGCATTCGCAACAACGTTCTTAAATAAACGAAATACAACACTAGGACTTTAATACGCATAACTAAACAACAGCAAGAACACCAGATTCAAAAGATACAGTGGAGTGTAGAAATAACACTCAACGTTTACGTTTACGTTTACGTGGATTTTTTTATGGATTAATTTATATTTCTGTTTTAATTGGTGGATTTAGTATTCTATAGGTACAAATTGATAATGAGGTGTCCATGAAGCAAAAATGATCAAAGAGTAAGAAAAGAGTAGCAATTAGGAAAATAAAATCAAATTAAAAGAGAGGATCCCTCAACATCTTCGGTTGTGTCCACGAAGTCGAACATAACTTTCTCATCGGACTCCAAATCAACTGGTTCCAGCGGCATTAGAAAGCTATTTCAGCTGGCTACAATTCCTGTCTAATGTCAAATTTCCAAATTCGGACTCGAACATGGTCAAAATTGGATTCAAAAGCGATCATGAAAATACCCGCTACAATTCGAGGACACGAATGCGCATCAAGAAACGTGCACAAAAACACTCGCTACAAAAGATACGCACATAAGTAAAAGTACAAAATCATGCACAAAAGTACTCACGCGAAAGTGCATTCGCAAAAAGCTTCATGAAAACACAAACTACAATCCTAGGACATTAATACAAATCAACAAACATGCACAAACACACTCGCTCAAATGGACATGCACAAACGTACATATAAAAAAACATGCGCAAAAGTGCATTCGCAACAACGTTCTTAAATAAACGAAATACAACACTAGGACTTTAATACGCATAACCAAACAACAGCAAGAACACTAGATACAAAAGATACAGTGGAGTGTAGAAATAACACTCAACGTTTACGTGGATTTTTTTATGGTTTAATTTATATTTCTGTTTTAATTGCTGGATTTAGTATTCTATGGGTACAAATTGATAATGAGGTGTCCATGAAGCAAAAATGATCAAAGAGTAAGAAAAGAGTTGCAATTAGGAAAATAAAATCAAATTAGAAGAGAGGATCCCTCAACATCTTCGGTAGTGTCCACGAAGTCGAGCATAACTTTCTCATCCGGACTCTAAATCAACTGGTTCCGGCGGCATTAGAAAGCTATTTCAGCTGGCTACAATTCCTGTCTAATGTCAAATTTCCAAATTCGGACTCGAACATGGGCAAAATTTGATTCCAAAAGCGATCATGCAAATACCCGCTACAGTTCGAGGACACGAATGCACATCAAGAAACATGCACAAAAACACTCGCTACAAAAGATACGCACATAAGTAAAAGTACAAAATCATGCACAAAAGTACTCACGCGAAACTGCATTCGCAAAAAGGTTTATGAAAACACAAACTACAATCCTAGGACATTAATACAAATCAACAAACATGCACAAACACTCTCGCTCAAATGGACATGCACAAACGTACATATAAAAAAACATGCGCAAAAGTGCATTCGCAACAACGTTCTTAAATAAACGAAATACAACACTAGGACTTGAATACGCATAACCAAACAACAGCAAGAACTGATACGAACCCCGTAGAACTTGTTACGGGACCCAATAATCTTACGCGGAAGCAAGAACGGAACGTCCAAAAATAAAGGATTCGATTGGCGGAATTCGGAATATTGACCCCGTAGCTATAGAGAGCTAGAAACCAATATTATCAAGGTGGAAGTATTGACCCCGTGATTATAATGAATGAGAAACCAATACTATAGTGCTAAGAATAATTCACAAGAATCCACTCGCAAAATATCCCGAAGAGTTGTTGAAGAACAACGAAGGAGAATTTTAATCTCTCAAAATAATACTTAAAAACGTCCAAATAATAATGACCCTAAAGCAACCTATTTATAAGTGTCAAAGAGACCTAATCTAACAAGGAAAATAAATCCTAACTTATCTATTATATGGAAATAACGAAATAAACTAAATCTAGTCCAAATAGGACTCTAAATAACAAGAAATAAATTGTCCAATAATAAAATACGAAAATTGATAATAATCATCTTTTCCAAGTCATGGCTTCTTGGCTGGATGACTAGACGGGCTCAAGTCCTTGAGCTCGGCTTGCTTCACAATCTGGCCCGATAATTCGCTCCAATTAAGCTCAGCTGGGATCGAACTAGACTTTGTCAATTCTTCATTTTGGAGCTCGTGTTCTACTAAGTTAAGCATGGCTGCTTCAATGCGCTTGGCCCGAGCTCGGGTAATCGGTCCTCTTGGCACATGCAGCTCGTCCAAGTCATCAACTCCTTCATCCAGCTCGGCACTACCTCGCGTAATTGGCTGGATCGTATCATCCTCCCCCTCTTGAAAATGATTCGTCCTCGAATCTGAACCTACATCAAACGGAGATAGGTCAGAAACATTAAATGTCGAACTAACTTGATACTCACTTGGAAGGTCGATCTTATAGGCATTATCGTTTATCTTTTCCAGCACTTGGAAAGGTCCATCTCCTCGTGGCTTAAGTTTTGAACTTCGCTGATTGGGAAACCTTTCCTTTCGAAAATGAACCCAAACCCAATCTCCTTGCTGAAAGGTAAGGTGCTTTCGCCCCTTATTAGCTCGGTTCGCAACTTGCTCATTCCTTTTCACAATGTGCTCGCGTGCTTCTTCATGGATTTTCTTCACTAACTCAGCCTTACGCTTCCCATCTAGACTAGAAATCTCAAACAGGTAAAGGCAACAAATCCAAAGGAGTTAGCGGATTAAAACCATAAACAATCTCAAAAGGTGAAAACTTTCGCGTGAGTACTTTTGTGCATGCTTTTGTACTTTTACTTATGATATGAACCACGCCACCCATGTGACGAGACCCGATAACAATACTTCGGTTATCAACTGCTGGACCGTCCAAAAGAAGGAATCAAAAGGGGGTGGAACCGCGACCCGTTGTCTATAAAGAGACAAGAACCTTGGTATGTGAAGACGCCACAATGAATTGTGGAAGATTGATTGATAAGTCAGGTGAACGTACGGAATCCTCCGATATGTTCGAAGAGTTCTAAAGAACTAGAGAGAATAATCTCACAATTTAATTAATGATCAAAAGCTGTCTTTCACAATGAATAAGAAGGCATACATATAGCCCCCAAAACATAGTCTTCAAGAAAGGAAAATAAAACCCTAAATCTACTTAATAAAGGCTCTAAACAAGTGAGCCACGAAATTAAAGAGGGCCTTAATAGAATATGCCCATAAACACACTAATATGAGCTGATTAGAAATGAACCCACGAATTTAAGGTAGGGTGAGCTTTGGTCTTCATCATTCTTGCTCTTATTTGCTCAACTTGGACTGATCTTTAGCCCGGATGGTTCCCACACTTGTCGGGTGACTCCGCCACTTGAATATGCATAACCCACCCTTGTTTATCACCATTGAATGAAGCTTTCTTAGTTAAGACATTATGGATCAATGCAGCAAGCTTCTCCTTAAATTGCTTAGCTCGGCTCCTCGTCACTGGTCCGGTTGGGACTTGGATAGGATCATCTTGCCAACTCTTGGTTAGACCTCCATCATTCCCCTCCTCTTGAAAAGGATTTGTCCTCAAATCATCACCTACATCAAAATAACTCAAATCAGCAACATTGAAGGTGGTACTAACATTATATTCACCTGGCAAGTCCAGCTTGTACGCATTATCATTCACTCGCTCGAGAACTTGAAAAGGACCATCTCCTCTCGGCAGCAACTTAGAACGCCTTTGTACGGGAAATCGTTCCTTTCTCATGTGCAGCCAAACCCAATCTCCAGGTTCAAAAACCAACTTGCGACGTCCCTTGTTCGCTTGCTTTGCATATTGTTCTGTTCTCCTCTCCATATTGAGCCTTGCTTTTTCATGAATCTGCTTCACAAGTTCAGCCTTTTTCTTTCCATCCAAGTTAACACGCTCAGATAAAGGTAGTGGTGTTAAATCCATTGGAGTTAAAGGATTAAAACCATAAACAATTTCAAACGGTGAAAACTTAGTAGCAGAATGAACAGCTCGATTATATGCAAACTCAACATGTGGTAAACACTCTTCCCATGTTTTAATGTTTTTCTTGATAATTGCCCTCAACAAGGCAGACAAAGTCCTATTTACTACTTCAGTTTGACCATCGGTTTGTGGGTGACAAGTAGTAGAAAATAATAATTTTGTTCCTAGCTTACACCACAAGGTCTTCCAAAAGTAACTCAAGAACTTAGCATCACGATTAGAAACAATTGTCCTAGGCATGCCATGCAATCTAACAACTTCTTTAAAGAACAAATCAGCAACATGCGACGCATCATCAGTTTTGTGGCATGGTATAAAATGTGCCATTTTAGAAAATCTATCAACGACAACAAAGATCGAATCCCTACCATGTTTTGACCTAGGCAGGCCTAACACAAAATCCATAGAAATATCAACCCACGGTTTATTGGGAATAGGCAATGGTGTGTATAAACCATGGGGCTGCACTCGAGACTTAGCTTGACGACATGTAACACATCTACCACAAATTCTCTCAACATCTCTCTTCATGTGTGGCCAATAAAAGTGTTCTTTCAGCATGTGTAATGTCTTTTCGAAACCAAAGTGACCCATAAGACCTCCCCCATGCGATTCAAGCACAAGTAATTCACGTATAGAACACATAGGAATGCAAAGTTTATCTTCCCTAAACAAGAATCCCTCATGCCTATAGAACTTATCAAATGCACCCTTTTCACATGCTTGATAAACAGTACCAAAATCAGAATCTTTAATGTACAACTCCTTAATTTGTTCAAAACCAAGTAATTTTACATTAAGAGTAGAGATTAAGGTGTACCTTCGAGACAGTGCATCAGCTACAATGTTCTCTTTACCTTGCTTGTATTTGATGACATAAGGAAATGTCTCAATGAATTCCATCCATCGGGCATGCCTCTTGTTCAGCTTGTGTTGTCCCTTCAAGTGCTTCAACGATTCATGATCTGTGTGAATCACAAACTCCTTAGGCCAAAGATAATGCTGCCATGTCTCTAATGCTCGAACCAAGGCATACAGCTCTTTATCATAAGTCGGGTAGTTTAAGGCTGCCCCACTCAACTTCTCACTAAAATATGCAATCGGTCGTCCCTCTTGCATCAAAACAGCGCCTATGCCTACTCCGGAAGCATCGCACTCGATCTCGAATGTTTTCGCGAAATTTGGTAGAGCGAGTAAAGGAGCTTTGGTTAACTTCTCCTTAATTAATTGAAATGCTTTCTCTTGCTCGTCCCCCAACTTGAACACCACATTCTTCCTTATCACCTCGGTCATTGGTGCTGCAATTGTGCTAAAATCCTTCACGAACCTCCTATAGAAACCAGCAAGGCCATGAAAACTTCGAACATTCGCTACACTCGTCGGACTTGGCCATTCTTGGATAGCTCGAACCTTTTCTTCATCAACCTGAATACCTTGTGCACTCACAACAAAACCAAGAAAGACAAGCTTATCCGTGCAAAATGTACATTTCTGCAAATTAGCATACAACTTCTCTTCCCTAAGCGCATGTAAAACGGATTTCAAATGCACAACATGATCATCCAGATTTTTGCTATAGATAAGAATGTCATCAAAGTAAACTACAACAAATTTACCAATGAAAGATCGCAAAACATGGTTCATTAATCGCATGAAAGTACTAGGGGCATTAGTTAACCCAAACGGCATAACTAACCACTCATATAAACCATACATTGTTTTGAAAGCAGTTTTCCATTCATCACCCTCTCTCATTCTTATTTGATGATACCCACTTTTCAAATCGATTTTTGAAAACACACAAGCACCATGCAATTCCTCTAACATATCATCTAAGCGTGGAATAGGATGACGATACTTTACCGTTATATTGTTGATTGCTCGACAATCGACACACATTCTCCACTTTCCATCCGCTTTAGGCACCAAAAGTACCGGAACAGCACACGGACTCATGCTCTCCCTCACGTGCCCTCTTTCCATCAACTCCGTGACCTGCCTTTGTATCTCCTTAGTCTCCTCGGGATTGCTTCGGTAGGCTGGTCGGTTTGGAATAGAAGCTCCTGGCACAAAGTCAATTTGATGTTCAATGCCTCGAATTGGTGGCAACCCCGGTGGTAGCTCCTCTGGGAATACATCATCAAAGTCCTGCAAAAGAGAAACAACGGAACTAGGCAAAGAAGAGTTAACGTTGTTAGTGTTCAAAAAGGCCTCCTTGTACATAAGTACAATCATCGGCTGATTCGAACGCATAGCTCTCTTCACATCACTCGCCCTCGCATATAAACTTGTTTTTCCCTCTTCTTTTCTCTCATTGGCCAAACTCTCTTTTTTATTTTCTCTCTTGTTTTTCTCAGCCTCACTCTCTCTTTCTTTTGCACTCTCACTCATTTTCTTTTGATCACTCTCTTTTTGTAACCTCACTTGATCCTCATGGACCTGCTGTGGCGTTAAAGGAACTAGAGTGATTGTTCTTTGGTTGAACGCAAATGAGTACTTGTTGGTGAAACCATCATGCTTGGCCCGTCGATCAGATTGCCACGGTCGACCAAGTAACAAGTGTCCAGCTTGCATCGGAACAACATCACACAGTACCTCATCTTCGTACCTCCCAATGCGAAATGATACTAACACTTGCTTGTTCACCCTCAATTCTCCACTATCATTAAGCCATTGCAGCTTATATGGTTGTGGATGTTTGGTTGTAGGCAGCCCTAACTTCTCCACCATCGTAGTGCTAGCAACATTGGTGCAACTCCCTCCATCAATGATCATACTACACACCTTGTCTCGAACATGACATCTAGTGTAGAAGATGTTTTCTCGCTGTGCATCTTCATCTCCCTTTGCTTGCACGTTTAGAGCTCTCCTTGCAACCAAAAGTTCACCATGTGCTGCATATTCTTCTTCTCCATCATCCTCTTGTGGTGGTGTGGAATCCTCCTCTTCTTCAGTCTCAAACCCACCATCATCACGCAGCAGCATAACTCTCTTGTTTGGACATTGGTTTGCTTTGTGACCCCTGCCATGGCATATAAAACACTCTATATCACGATTCCGAGTTGTATTAGAATCGATTTTACCTTGGGCTGCATGGCTGGTAGTGTTTTGCTTTGGCTCGAATTTGGGTTTAATCATAGCTGGCTTCTCATCTTTGCTAACACCATTATGCCTCCAAGATGAACTCGAACTAGGGGCTGGTCGTGGATTGTTACCCCGCCGCTTGAGCTGATTCTCAATCTTGATGGCCATGTGTACCATGTCCTCCATCTCAACATAATGTTGCAACTCCACGACGTTAGCAATCTCTCTATTCAGCCCTGCCAAGAACCTTGCCATAGTAGCCTCCCGATCCTCCTCAATATTTACTCGGATCATTGAAATTTCCATCTCCTTAAAGTACTCTTCAACACTCCGATTTCCTTGCTTCAAATTCTGTAGCTTTTGATACAACTCCCGGAAGTAGTAGCTTGGCACGAACCGCTTTCTCATTAGGGATTTCATCTCGTCCCAGGTTGCCACTGGATTCTCCCTATTTCTCCTCCTATTCAGCACCAATTGATCCCACCAAATGATGGCATAATCGGAGAATTCAATCGCTGCCAACTTCACCTTCTTGTGTTCCGAGTAATTGTGACAATCAAACAACAGCTCCATCTTTCGCTCCCACTCAATGTAAGCTTCAGGATCGTTTCTGCCGTGAAACGATGGTATATTCACCTTTATGTTTCCCAAATTGTTATCCTCGCGGTTTCGAGCATCACGAACCCTCGCTCCAAACCTTCGATTTACAGCAACGGAATGTTGGTCATCGAAGTCATCACTGTAATACTCATCCTCTTCTGCCCTAGCCTCTCTAGGTGGAGCTTGTCCTCTCCTTTGCATGTTAGGAATGGTTTGGGGAATCTCTTGCCGTGAATTCTCCATTTGATCCATCCGCTCATGAATCTGCTCCATCTCTTCCCTCACGAATCTCTTCATCTCACTCATCAACGCCTCCATCATAAACTTTGGATCAACCTCCCTATGTGTGTCTTCCAAATTTGTTTGATTGTTAGACATGATTCCTGCAAAACAATGTTAGAAAGAAAATATGGACCTCACACACTCCCTTACGTGTTTCACTCAATAAATGGATATCGCTCAAGTTCACTCGTGTTTGCACACAATCAATTTTGGCTTTTACCCTCTTATGAACTCACCACTCTTGCCTTTTTCCTCTCAAATTCTCAATAGTCCCAATCAAACTCACCAAACAAATATCAGAATTTTCAGCAACAGTTCACCAC